TTGTCTGCCCACTTCTTCATCTTTCTCGCAGCCCTGTGTAATGCAGCTCGAGCTATTTCCCATTGCTCATTCCAAGATTTGGCAAACTTGAATGCGGGCGGGCTTTTTCCTTCATAGTAGGTTGTAATGGAAAGGGGAGTCATAGGTTGTTGTCCCATGATTATTTCAAAGGGACTCTTATTAGTAGACTCATTCCTTTGAAGGTTGAAAGAAAACTGAGCCACATCTAGCAACTTGGCCCAATTTTGTTGATTGGCACTCACATAGTGCCGCAGATATAGCTCTAAGAGGGCATTGACCCTCTCAGTTTGTCCATCACTCTGTGGATGAAAGCTTGTGGAAAAGTTTAGATCCGTCCCCAACATTTTGAATAACTCGGTCCAAAATCTTCCGGTGAAGCGAGGATCTCGATCGCTGATAATGCTTTGTGGTATTCCCCATAACTTTACCACGTTGCATAGAAAGAGTCGTGCAGCTTCCTCGGCAGTACAATCGGTGGATGCAGCAATGAATGTTGCATACTTGCTGAATCTATCCACAACGACTAAGATGCTCCCAAATCCGCCTGATTTCGGCAAGCTAGAGATGAAGTCCATAGAGACACTCTCCCATGGTCTTTGAGGAATAGGTAGCGGTTCTAACAACCCGCCTGGTTCTTGAAGAACAATTTTGTCTTGCTGACAAACAAGACAAGTGCGAACATATTCTTCTATCCCATCGTTCATCCCTGGCCAGTAGTAGTTAGCTTTTAGTAGTGCGAGAGTTCGTTTCATACCTGGGTGTCCTGCCCATAGAGAGTCATGACATTCTTTGATTAGCTCCTTCCTTAAGTTTCCCCATCTCGGTATGTAGACGCGTCGTCCCTTGGTGTAAAGGAGACCTTCATCCATCCAGAACTTCCGGGATTTTCCTTCTTTCACTAAGACAATAATGCTTTGGGCTTGTGGGTCGACAGTCAAACCTTCTTTTATTTTATCTAGGAGGGCGCTGGAGACTAGTGACAGGCTTGCAAGTTCAGCTTTTCGGCTCAGCGCGTCAGCAACTACGTTGGCCTTCCCTGGTTTATACTCCAGGACATAGTCAAATTCTGCCAGAAAATCCTGCCATCTTGCTTGCTTAGGACTCAGCTTCTTCTGGGTCTGGAAGTAACTGGTGGCAATATTATCTGTCATAACTTGGAATTTGGAGCCGAGCAAGTAGTGTCTCCATATTCTGAGGCAATGTATGATGGCTGTCATCTCCTTCTCTTGAACTGTATAGCGACGCTCTGTCTCGTTAAGTTTTCTGCTTTCGTAGGCAATTGGATGCCCATCTTGCATGAGTACCCCTCCAATAGCAAAATCCGAAGCATCAGTATGTACTTCGTATACCTTGGTATGATCAGGAAGGCTGAGTACGGGTTCTTCACTGATTGCCTTTTTGAGGTCTTCAAAAGCTTCATCACACCCACTACTCCATTCCCACGACTTGTTCTTCTTGAGCAAGTCTGTCAATGGAGCAGCTTTTGCGGAGTAGCCCTTTATGAATCGCCGATAGTAGTTAATAAGTCCCAAGAAGGATCTTAATTCAGGTACTTTGGTGGGATGTTCCCAATCTTGGATGGCTTTGACCTTACTTTCTTCCATCATGAGCTTTCCCTCCTTTATTCTATGCCCCAAGAATGCCACTTCTCGTTTGGCAAAGGAACATTTTTCTTTCTTGATGTATAGCTTGTTTTCTCTAAGAACTTTGAATACATCCCGGAGATGTTTTAGATGATCTTGGAGAGTGTTGCTATACACCACTATGTCATCCAAGTAGACAACGACAAACTGGTCCAGGTATGGCTGGAATAGTTTGTTCATTAAGGTGCAAAATGTAGCAGGAGCATTGGTTAGTCCGAAAGGCATCACCAAAAATTCGAATGATCCATACCTTGTCACACAAGTGGTCTTTGGTTCATCCCCTTCAGCTATTCTCACTTGATAGTAGCCTGATCGGAGATCCAATTTTGAGAAGTACCTTGCATTCCCAAGTTGATCAAAAAGGTCGGCAATGAGAGGGATTGGATATTTGTTCTTCACGGTAATTTTGTTCAAAGCCCGATAATCTATACACATGCGTAAGGAGCC